GGGGGGGGTCACCCCAGGGCGAGCACAGGGCTCTGGGGATGGGGGTGGCCCTTGCGGGGCCGGGACCCTGCGCCCAGCGCGGGCTGGACCTCGAAGCGGATGTTGGAGCGGCGGTGCCGGGCCAGCTCGGCGATGTTGACCCCGTTGAACATGATGTTCTCCACGCAGCCGCGGAAGTTCTGCCGGTAGGTGAGGTGCTGCTTGTCCTGGTCGATCACCCCGCCGAAGAAGAGCTGTGGGCAGAAGAGGGGGCTCAGCCCCGCACCGGGGAGGCCTCCGGGTCCCCGCGCCCGGCAGCTCCCACCTCGGTGTCCAGGTCGAGCTGGTTGAAGGTGCCGTGGCAGCGGAAGCGCTTGACCTCCCCGTCCAGCGTCAGGTTGACGTGGTGGCCGTAGCGCTCCACGTGCACCGCGTGCCAGTGCTCGTCGTCCAGCAGGCTGCCCACCGCCGCCGTGGTGTGGCCCTCGGTGGCGTGCACAGGGCTGCTGCCTGGGGACAGGGCTTGTCACCCTGTGCCAACCAGACCGGCCCTGGTCCCAGCCCCAGCCCGGTCTCACCTAGGCTGATGTGCAGGAGCAACTGGGCCTGCTTGAGCTCCAGCGTGATGTAGTCGCCCTGCGCGCCCTCGCCGTGCATCAGCACCCCGTTCTGCTCCACTGTCTTGAAGTTGAAGGAGATGTCATCCTCCATGGTGCTGATCCTCTTGGCACGGAAGCGGTAGGAGATGGCGTCGTCGCCGTCGAAGTAGAGCACATGGGACCCTGCAGGGAAGGAGGGCTTGGGCAATGTCCACGGTGGCTCTCACACCGAGCGGCCCACGCGCGGGCGGACACTCACGGTAGGGGCAGCCGTAGAGGGCCAGGGGCAGCCCGATCTTCCCACGCGGGTTCCAGGCCACGGGGATGATGCGGATGTAGCGCGCCAGGATGGGGTAGTGCAGGTCGTGCCGCACCACCCCGCTCTCATTGACGTTCCCAAAGAAGGTCTGCGGGTGGCAGGGGAATCAGCAGCAGGCAGAGGCAGCAGGAGAGCCCCCCTGACCCTCAGCCACCCTACCCAGTTGCTGCCCTGCTGGAAGAAGGGCTTCCAGCTGGTGGGGTGGTCGCCGTAGAGGACG